CAGCCGAATGACATACAAACCAAATAATTCACCTCAAGTTTCCGTCGAGCTCGATATTAGCGATCATACTTTCGAAATTAATGTCATCAACTCCAACAAATTTTCTCCTGCTGAATTTGCGAAGTGCGTGGTTGTTCCGGAAGTAAGTCCTCAGAACGACATCTCAGTAGACGGTTATGACATGTACCAAGAACAATGTAAAGACAAAGAAATTTCTAAAATTATTTCGCAATTGAAAAGTGATAAAGACATTCCTGTTATTCACAAGAAATTTATGTTAATTAATAATATATTGCATTATATCTCTCATACCTATGATGAACCTAATCCTCGTTTGTACGTCCCAATCCACATCAAAAATGAAGTTCTCAAGCAATATCATGATTATTTTCACCTTGGTATTGATAAGACATATAGCATGCTAGCGCAGAAATATTATTGGCCTACCCTATACAAACAAATTTACAAATATGTCGCTGAATGTGTACCCTGTCAAACACGTTGTTTACAGAAAGTCAAACCTTCACTCCAATCAGCCTTTCCGGAAACAAATACATTATCTCGTTTGTCGACTGGTACAGTGGCTGGCCTGAAAGTTTTCCGGTTAAGGATAAGTCGGCTGCAAATGTGGCACACCTTCTTTTGGAAGAAATTTTTCCGCGTTTCGGCACACCGCTTCAACTGGTCAGTGATAACGGTACCGAAAATGAAAACAAAATGATGCATGAGACACTTGCTGAATTAAACATCAACCATGTGACTAGCTCGTTCTATCACCCACAATCCAATGCCCGCCTTGAAAGATTCCACAGAACGTTACACGATGTACTTTCAAAGAAAATGGCGGACAATCTTGAAACTTGGGATTTATATATCAATCAAACTTTGGCAGCAATTCGCTTTAATATCAGCGAAAGTTCCCGTTTTTCTCCTTTTTACCTATTATACAATCGCGATGTTGTTTTGGTGATGATTTCCATAAAATTGCTCTAGAAAACCAACATAAGTCATTCATGCTAGTGCACAAACACAAGAAGCAAACCAAACGTCGTCAAGCGCATTATGCGAACAGAAATTCGAAAGTAGTTAATTTTCAAGTAGGTGATCCGATCTATGTAAAAAATCATATTCGCTCTAGTAAACTTCAAGGAAAATGGAAGCCTTATTTTAGAATTATTGAACAAACCTCCCCACTAACTTTTGTTTTGAAAAATCAACTCGACGGCTCCACGTTGAAATCTCATGCGGAGCACATGCGTCTAGCCAAAATCGATTCCTGGAAAATACCCAGACCCGATGAGCAACACCCGCTTAGAGCTGCTAACTATGTCATACCACCAGACTCCGACGACTCGTCCGGAGACGAGAGTGGCGTGAAATCCAATTTTGATATTGTCGAAAATACTCGCCAAGCACGTGCCGATTCATCTTCAGAAGAGGATATCCCGTTAATGGAATTGGCTACTAGATTACGCGCCAAACAAAACCAGCTCCCCGACATGGAACGCCCCATGGATGTTGACGCTGTAAAGCGAGAACCTGTCCACACGACAGACGAGTATGCACAAACAGAGCCCGAACCCGACACAATTGCGCATTGTCAACAAATTGATTCCATGTCCACCTCTAATCCCGATGACCCACTCCTTAAAACACAAACTGACAAGAACTCGGATTTAAAGAATCTTTTATCGGGCATACTAGGAATGCTTGGAAATTAAGTCTCCCCTCCTCATAATAGTTGTACATAGGTTATTAATCGATGTTTAATGTTGTTTAATTATTTCTTTTGTTTATCTTCATAATAGATGCGTAGTCTTCATTTTCTCCTTGTATTACTGTTTGGCCTTACGGTTGGATATCACGTGTATGAAAATGTCATTTTTAGACCCGTTAGTGATTTTTCAATTTCCCGCTCTCGTTGGTTAGTTACGTTTATGGTAGATTTAAAACCGTCCCAAATTTTCATTACTTCTCTTAAAAAGGATGCAAAAAGAGTGTTTACTACTTTATATGATACTATAAATAATTATTCCCGCGCTTCCGCCGATATATTTTTCACTAAACTGTTGTCAAATGATTTACAAAAGGTGCGCATTGTGGAACAGCAATACTATAAATTGATCTCGGAATCTTCTCAATTTCCCTTATTAAAAAGTACACGTCCAAAACGCGCATTACTTCCGATAATTGGCAAAGCCTTAAGTTTCCTTTTTGGTACCGTCTCCCAATCAGATTTCAATGCAATCAAATCTAATATAAATAAACTTGCCTCAAATCAGAATAATGTCATCCATATTGTTTCTAAAACTAAAAGTTTGTCTATTTTAAATACTTCCCGTATCGCGATTGCTAAAATCAGAGCGACAATCAATACTTTGATCTACAGTTTCCAATCGTTCGAGACACAGGTTAAACAAATGCTCCAAAATGTCACGAATGAGGTTATTAGAATCAAAAATTTTCTCAAAGTTTCATATAAGATACAATATCTATTAGCAGAACTACAACATGTTATCACTCAAGGCTCTAACTATTTTGACCATCTTAGCTTACAGCTCAATATGCTATCGCTGGGACATATTTCTCCCAGTACCATATCCCCATCGGACCTTAAATCATTAATATTAACCATTCGATCCCATCTACCGCGTAGTGTAATCTTCCCGCTGTCATTTCGAACCTTTGGCAATATTATAAACTCTTAACTTGTTCCGCTTTAATTTCGAATTCCAAAATTCTTATTATATTAAATATCCCACTTCTTGATTCCAACAGAAAAATTCAAATTTTCGAGGCTCATAATTTGCCCGTTCCATTCATCTCTAATCAGTCAATTACGGATGATCATAATCTCAATCAAATGGTGGCAAACTACAAATTAGAAAGCCAATATTTAGCAATTAATGCCGAGCGAACTCAATTCGCTCTTCTTTCACAAAGTGAAGTCCATCGATGTTCCAATAAGGTGATCCACATTTGTTCCATTAGGAGCTCCCTCTATCCAATTAATCTTAGCAAACTTTGTATCACATCCCTCTTTATGAAAAATCATAAATTAATAAAACGTGTTTGTGTAGTAAATGTTCAGCCAAAAACCATTCTTCCAATAGCAAACTATTTGATGGACGGTGTCTGGGCCATTACATCTCGCGAAACGCTCCATTTTTCTTTGGTCTGTTACAACAAAAAGCATTCTACCTCTGATTTTCACGTCACTGCAAACCCTCCTATTGATCTTCTCAAGCTAAACATGACCTGTTCAGCATCAAACACTTTCATCACTTTATTGCCTTATTTTCAAAAAGAAAGTCGATTTCATTCGACCCAATCCTTTAGGAATTTGAAATACCGTTTCAATATAACTAATCTTCATTTATGGCGTCCTCCTCTAACGGTGGCTTTTCCAAATCATTCATTCCCCTCACGGCCGCATCACCTTCATGATCTTAAGTCTGTCCCACTTGTTAGTTTGATAAACCAACTGAGTTCACTCCATAATGTAGAAGTGGGTGATAAAACCTGGGGACATTGGTCTATATTATCAACGGGGATAGGGATCACTATCGGGATAGGGGTTATTATATTTTTCATAGCACGACATGTCATAAAACACCGTTTGGCCAGACGGTATGGAAAACGAAAAGACTACCGATCAACAGCAATGGTGGCAAATAATGCCAATAGTGGAGCTACACTACGCAGAGAAATACTGACCCCTCGCCATTACTGGAACCTCGAACGGAGGAAGTGGACACAAAAGAAGAAGACGGGAATCATATGTACCCTTCCCTACAGTTGGCCACGAAAATTCCATAGTGGTTAAAAGGAGGAAATACTCTGTGTACCTCCCTACAGTGAGCCACACGAATGAAATAGAGGATAAAGAAGAGGGCAACAATTAGTACCTCTCCCTTCAGTTGTCTTCAAGGATTCTATTTCGCGCTTCTCGGGTGTGTGCGAACATTATAATAGTTTTACAGTGTTTGTTTTTTATAATTATTAGTGATTCAAATCACTCGCGTGTGTGGACGTTAAAATAGTCGTCTGTGACATATATGTATATATGTAATTTCATCGACTCACGTGTGTGACCGATTGTGTTCATATTGTTGTTGTTGTTGTTGTGTGGACGTTAAAATAGTCGTCTGTGACATATATGTATATATGTAATTTCATTGACTCGCGTGTGTGACCGATTGTGTTCATATTGTGTTGAGGAAAACAACAACAACAAAAACTGTGTATATATAACTTTTAAATTCGTGTTTTCGAATTCAAATTCTCTTTGGGGGTTTTTGTACAGAGATTTGTACATATTATGACATTTTAGAAGTGTTTAATTTTTCATTTATATTGTATAATTATAGTAATTTATATGCTAACTTTTTTTGTTGAGAACAGGAATGTTACACAATTGAGGAAATATCAATTTACACCTTCCTTACATTAGCAATCTTATCAGATTAACAGATTAATGACCAGCTGTAATCTCCGGCCATAATTGAATCTGAAATATAATACCTGGCCATAGCGGATTGGTCAACACTATCTGTCCGTTCGAGGCACCCACCCACCCCAGACTGATACTGACCAATCAGGTCACGGTACATGGGTGTGGTTTCTAAATTCAAGACTGGACCTCGATCCGGCCCCGTAATATATAAATTCAAACTAAATGTTTTATCAAAAAATCCAGCCCAGAGAGCTGGGCTGGGAACAAGACTGCTACTAGATGAAACACCTGTAACTTAAGTATTGTAGTACGAGTATTGTAAATATGTTTATAGTAGAATAAAAAGTATTGTATGAACCTGAAACTAGTCTTGTCATCCGAACCTGATTTAAGAACCAATACTGTCACATATATATGTACATATCAACAGTTATATATATATGTATACATATATAAGTGACCCATTTTAATTCTTAGCCGACTATGATATGATCTCTAACTGAGCTTGCAGTGTGTAAAATGTACATCCGGGTCTGGTATTAAACAGAAAGTGGGGCTTTTTGATTATAGGGAAGTATTTCATTTACGTCACTATTACCTAGAGCTCCGCCATTTGTAGACGTTTCTTCTCTATTTTATTTGTGTTTTTATTCATGGTAAGTAAAATATATCTTACTTCTTCGACATATTGATGACGTAAAGACTGTAAGACAATGGGGTATATCTCTAACCTGTATTTATAGTGTAGTATACAGCATACAGCATGAAGGACATTAACGGATTGGCGTATTGCATACTGTGACAACCTTTTTGTATCATAAAACTACCTGTGAATTGTGTGTCTTAATCAGGGTAATTACGTGTTTATTACGTCTCAGGAACCAGCTCCCGGACCCCATTTTATCTCGCTACGTTGACAATCGGCCCTCCATCATCCCCATATCAATTTCGTTCCGACGGGAGTGGTGTTATTGTCCCCCGCCTTTCGAAGAAAGCAGGGGACTATTAAAATGGGTTCGTCCGTCTGTCTGTCTGTCTGTCTGTCTGTCCGTCTGTCTGTCCTTCTGTCTGTCCGTCTGTCTGTCCGTCACACTTTTTGGGACACAATAACTCTCTTCCTAATTGAGCTAGAATGTTCAAACTTGGTGTATGTGTTTATTAGGTCAATGCCTTGATGGAGTTCGAAGATGAGCATTTTCCGCTTAGGGTAAGCAGAGATAAGCAATTTGATTGGTTGATGCTTTGGGACACGATAACTCTCTTCCTAATTGGGCTAGAATGTTTAAACTTGGTGTATGTGTTGATTAGGTCAATGCCTTGATGGAGTTCGAAGATGAGCATTTTCCGCTTAGGGTAAGCAGAGATAAGCAATTTGATTGGTTGATGCTTTGGGACACGATAACTTTTGATTGAGCTAGAATGTTCAAACTTGGTGTATGTGTTTATTAGGTCAATGCCTTGATGGAGTTCGAAGATGAGCATTTTCCGCTTAGGGTAAGCAGAGATAAGCAATTTGATTGGTTGATACTTCGGGGCACGATAACTCTCTTCCTAATTGAGCTAGAATGTTCAAACTTGGTGTATGTGTTGATTAGGTCAATGCCTTGATGGAGTTCGAAGATGAGCATTTTCCGCTTAGGGTAAGCAGAGATAAGCAATTTGATTGGTTGATGCTTTGGGACACGATAACTTTAGTTCTAATTAAGTGAGATTGATGAAACTTGGTGTATAGTTTCATTACAGTAATACCTTGACTAAGTTTGATAATGAGCATTTTCTGCTCAGGGTAAGCAGAGCGATACGCAATTTGATTGGTCGAGACTTTGGAAAACAATAACTCTCCTACTTTGATTGTCCCCCGCCTTTCGAAGAAAGCAGGGAACTATTAAAATGGGTTCGTCCGTCTGTCTGTTTGTCTGTCTGTCCGTTCCGCTTATGGTAAGCAGAAAAAACAAATTGAAAAAGAAACTATTATAAATTAATTAAATATGTAGTATGCAATAATGAATTGACATTTAATGACAGAAAGAAAACAGTGAACTTTGCACAACTTGCAGCAAGATGGAAAATAGACCCGTTGATACAACCAAACTCGAGATCTGTAGGCATAGAGCATGTTTTCCCCTTAATATGCTATAATTATTCCATCAAAAACATTGTATGCTTAGACTATAAGTAAAGATATACTGTTTGATTGTTCAATACTTTGTAAAAGATAATTTGTGATAAATTTATATGTGTCCTCTAATTATTTTCCTATTTCGGCGGGGGACATCAGCCTCACTGTTGGCTTGTTTCAAATTGTTTCTACTATTCCTATTAATACAAACTTTCGATATAAAAATAGCAGACACGTCATATTGGGAATACCCCTTTTTTGTTCGCTATTTTGACAACCCCAATATCAATTGTGTGACTAGACTGAAAGAGTATAAGCTAGTTAGTTGTTCGTTTTTCACCCGATGTGGAATCAATAATTTAATAAAGGCACTTTTATGGGAAATACGCTAGGACTGGAGTTTTTTATGAGCCTAATTGTTTTATAACACTTCAATGTCATGGGAAATAGATTCTAACGAACTGTCTTTCTACCCGAATAACGAGCTGTTTAATATGGCAGAGGGTATTCGCCATTCGAATGGCAAAGGGTTATTCACCATTCATTTACGTTATTTGCCATTCGTTTTCGTTATTTGCCATTCTTTTTTTTAAATCGATATTCTCTGTCCTATCACGATGTCTGGTCGAGGGGTAATGCTACCAACCACTTAAACTAGTTTAACTTCGTCCTACAAAATGCACAAACATAATTTTCGTTGCAGTAAAAATGCGAAAATAACTACTACAACAAACGTTGTTTGACACAGTGCCATTGGAGGTCTATTCATAGCCTAGCGGTGAATACCCGAAAAAGTACCACACTTTATGACCTGTCTTTGAAAGGTTTAGATAAGACAAAATAGTTTTATTCAAATATATGGATTGGAAATAAACAGTGGTTGAAAATGAAAGGTTCGGGTAGATAAAAAAAATGAAATAAATATGAAAAATAAAAACGAATGGCACAAAAAAGACGAGAGATATATACAATAAGATAATAATAAAATACTTCATATTTTAACCTGTTTCGGCGTGGTTTCGATCCACCTGTTGTACGTGACAAGGAGTAAGGTCGCCTGTCCGACTCCATGGGTTTTCTCCGGGTTCTACCACTGCTAAAGTCTAAAGACCCCTACGCGCAAGGGAACCATATGTGTTAGTTCCGAAATGCCCCCCCCCCTCTCTCATTCCAGTTTCATATGAGGGAAATTCTGCCCGGATACACCAATGTATACACGGGTCCTCGTTTCGTTCGTCCCATCGGAGCGGCTACACAGTTGTCCTTATCGGGCCCTCCGTCCTGCACCACTGACAAGGGAAAATAGCCGAAACAAATTATGATCATGCCTAAAAAATATATCGTTTAGAGTACACAGAGACGCGCTTAAGCCGGTCGCTTAAACAAACATTCATGATTCCCGAAAAAATGTCACTGTGTATTAAACTGACTTTAAATCTTCTAAATTTTATGCAGAATTTTAATCCCGTAGTCAAAACTTAAGAAATTACGATCTCATCCCTGGCTTGACGTACGCCTATGTGAGTAGATGTAAATGAATTATATGTTTGACAATAAAACATACGGTTGAGAAAGAAATGTAGGCTATGAGTAGCAAATGAATACGGGATGCCAATAAAGAAATGGCGTGGGGGGGGGGGGGCGATGGTTAGCACGTGTGCGCTGTATCATAAGGTCTGCCATTGAGGTCTCTCTCTAGTTTGAAATGGAAGGTATTATTATTATTATTATTATTATTATTACAGCATATTTATAGTGCACCCTTTCATATAACATGTTCAGGGGCACTTTACAAAGTGACAATGTAAATCACACATAAACAACAAGATTATGGGCATGTTAACGATTTTATACAGAGTCAGTTAAAAGCCTGATTAAATAAATGTGTTTTAAGTTGTTTTTTAAAAGAATATAGAGATGTACAACATCTTAAACTAAATGGTAGATTATTCCATAAAACAGGTGCTTGATAACTAAAAGAGCGCTGACCATAAGAGACTAGTTGAACAGTTTTGGGCTTTAAAAGTAGTTTATCTGATGTACGTAATGTTCGGCCAGGTGTATAAAGTTCTGAAAGATCTGAGAGGTAAACAGGAGCTAAATTATTTAAACATTTAAAAGTAAGTAATAAAATCTTAAAATCAATTCGATATTTAACAGGTAACCAGTGTAAATTATATAAAACAGGAGTTATGTGGTCACATTTCTTAGTTAAAGTAACAAGTCTAGCCGCAGTATTCTGTACTTTTTGTAATTTATCTATAAGCTTTAAAGGTAAACCAACTAAACGTGAATTAAAGTTATCTAATCGAGAAGTGACCAGAGAATTAACAAGTGACTTAGTGGCCTCTACAGTTACACATTTACGTATTTTACCTATATTTCTAATATTAAAATAGCACAATTTACAAATATTTTTTACTTGAGCTCCCATAAGCATAAAACTATCAAAGATAGCGCCAATATTACGAGCAGAATAAGATGAAAATATATCACAATTTCCAATTACAACAGGGGGGTTATCTTGTGCAGATTTACTTAATTGATGCCTTGAGCCTAATAACAAATATTCGGTTTTATCATCATTCAATTTTAGAAAGTTCTTTGACATCCATTTTCTAATTTCACTAATACAGTTCTCAAGTTGCAATTTTGATAAATTGAAAGAAGATGGACAATTAGGTGTAAATGAAATATATAATTGAGTATCATCGGCATAGAAACATACGGGTAGCAAATATAACACGCAGTTGGAAATGAAATGAAACGGGGTTTAACGTCACACAGTTCTTTTCCTAACCTGGGCTAATGAAGACGGGCACACGCCATACAGTGTGCTATGAGGGAAATTTTGCCCAGGCAGCGGCGCTACGGCCTACTCTTATATCGAATTCCAACTGCTAGAACAATTTCAATAAGCCTCTGCTGCTTTCGCAGGAATGAAATTAGATTAAGTTTGTAATATATCTTCTTTGTGATAACAAAGGTACAAAGAAATGCCTTTTCGATGTTTCTGGATTAGTGAAGATACAAAATTTCGCAGAATACGGAACTTTTCACATGTGTGCTACTTCCATCTACACACGATGTCGGTTTCGGTGTCTACGCTTCGCTGTGAACGAAAGTGTTCATAAGCACTATGAAGCTTCAAATAACAAATGACAATTAAAAAGGGATTCTGGGTCTGCATTTTGAATATAACACTATAAACCTCAGAATGCCTCGTTCGGCATTTCTGTCCAAACGAGGCAAAAACGTGTCAAAATTTTTGCCCCGATTTTGCCTCGTTGTAACGAGGTAAAAAAAATACCTCGTTTCTCTGGAGTTCCAAAACGTGGTTTTTTAAATTGCCCTGTTTTTGGAACGAGGTATTTTGTTCAGAACGAGGCTGGGTAAAATTGCCTCATTTACTAAACGAGGTATTTTATCCAAGATAATTATTAGCGGTATTTGCTGTCAACAAATAGAGCCATACAAATAATGTTCGGACCATCATGTGACCAATTGCAGATCTACAAATTAGATTATTTATTTGGG